TTGAGAAAAGCACGATTGATTTGAAAGACTTTGATTTCTATCAACGTGGACCTAAATGACCTTTCTGAATAGTTATTGCAATTCGTAGTTTCCTGAACAGTGGTTTAAGGTTACAATTCAAATTTCCAATCACTTGGGAATTTAGCAATAACTGTTTAACTCGAGGATTTTAGGTGTACATTTAGGCCACTAGGATTTTTTTTTTCCACACGTATTGACATGTGAAAGGAAATATATATTTGTTAACATGATGTTTTCTAAAACAAATTTGGCAAAGCAACAAATAAATGGGTTTCAGCATATGCGTTCTCTCTTAAACTTACATTTTGCTCTTAAAACCAGTTTCTGAAGAAAATCAGGAACTACTAATCTTAGATCTGTAGTATGTGCTAAAGTAATTGTTAATGCCAATTTGTCCAACAAAGAATGAGCCAGTTTGTTTTTGATTGATTGTTTTTTTTTTTTATAATGAGCCAGCTTTTAAAAGTTTATTTTAAAAGACATAATTTCTTCTTAATTTCATCAGGAGAGCTCTTGTATTTTAATTCATAAAGCATTTCGGTTATTCATTTTATATTTGGCTAATCAGTGATCAGTAGTAGTGATATTTTCCAGGTACTTTTTTGTTAACTGATTTTTCTTTCTTTTTTTTAATTGCTTAAAGTATTACAAAGAGTATTACATATGTTTCCTTTTTTTCCTCCCCCTTGACATTCCCCCAGCCTCCCCCAAGTAGTATTTCTTAATCTTCTAAAAATTAAGGATCCCTTATCTTTCTTTAAAGAGCCCTGTGTTTTCTGTCACAGTAAATATTACAAGCAGTGCAAACCAGACTTCATTTCCCTTTGCTAGGAGGAAACTTAGGGTTGAGCACCTTTCAATGTGTTGAAATGGTGTAAAAATTTATCTCCCTGTTTTAACCAAATTAGACAATTTTATGTGAATTAGATAGGAACTTAAATAAGTCTTAAATCATGAAGGCTTTATAAAAATTAATGAAATTTCTGTATTTTTAGTTACATATGTTTATTTTTCAGGGCAAACTCTTTGATTCTACAATAGCTGATGAGGGAACATGGACTTTGGGTAAGGGTAATCTATTATAAATCCTAGGGTCTTTTTATCAGTTAATTTTGTCTTGGAACTTAGTATGTTTTCCCTGTTGCATTAGGTGTTTTGTCTTTGCAGTTTTGAAAGATATACTAATAGAAATGTATTGAGAGTAATTTTGTGTCAAGATTACCTAATGGTTTTTGAAAATATAAAATTGAATGAACTCTAATTTGTGATTTCTGTTTGTTTAGAGGACAGAAAAATGGTTCGTATTGTTCTTACAAAGACAAAGAGAGATGCAGCAAATTGCTGGACTTCTCTTCTAGAATCTGAATACGCAGCTGATCCTTGGGTGCAAGACCAAATGCAGAGAAAACTTACATTAGAGAGATTCCAGAAAGAAGTAAGTCAGATAAATGTATGCGTATGTGTAGTAAAACATATTAGAAACAGAATAAATATTTTTTGAAATTAAAACTCATGAGGTTATAAAAATTACAAAAGTTCTGTAGAGGAATTTTTAAAGTTAAATGCTTAGAAAAAAAAGTTAAATGCTTAGAAAATGACTGGCCTTTTAATGTATGGGATTTGGTTTTTTTAAAAGATTTTCTTGAGAATTTATGCTATCATGACTTCTAAATTTAAATTTATTTAATGTGCACAGTAATGGCTGAATAATCTCATAAAATACAATCAACAGAGACTTACATAGTGTAAAAATTCACCAATATCTTTGCTTTCCATGCCTGTGTCTCAGTCTCATCTCATCAATATGTTGACTTGTTTGTTTTGTTTTAACATAAACGGAGACTCACACTGTATATTGTTTGTATTTCTTTTTTAATAATGCGTCTTGGGTCTCTCTTTCTTTTAGTACACATAGAAAAACTCTCTTCTTTAACTGCTTCAGGGTGTTTTCTAGTTTGAATGTATTGTAATATTTAGCTATTCCCATTCGATAAGATTTAGATTTCCCTGTTTATGTCTGCTATTTGAAAGTTTATACTTTCATCTCTGAAACTATTCAAACATTCAAATATACATCTTTAGCCTAGACTTTTCCCCTGAATTTTGGACTCTTATACCCAATTGCCTATTTAATAACTCCATTTGGCTAGCAAACATTAAACTCAGTATGTACAACATGAGCTTTCTAACATCTGTCTCACATATGTTCAAACTCTAAGCTTCTCATCTCAGTTGATGGACATGAATTGTTCAAATAAAAAAGTATGTGTGTGTGTATACACACACACACACACACACACACACACAGATAGTCCTCGGGTTACGTTGGACTCGATGTACATTGTTTTGTGCTTACGTTGCCATCTCCCATTTATTTATAAAAAAAAAAAGTTCCGTCATTTTCATGTATGTACATATGTGCTTTATGTTTCTTATTATTTATTTACAAGTAAAGGTCAGGAATTGTTATCTTTCTTTCAAATTTTTTTACTGTTTCACTTCATTACTGCTGTGTATGTGCTCCATGTGAGTGACATAGGTACTTACATAGGTACTTTTTCCGACTTACAGTGAAAATCGCGTTACGTCGATCCATAGGAATGGATCTCTGACATAACCGAGGACCTATTGTGTGTGTGTGTGTGTGTGTGTGTGCGCGCGCACGCGTGCAAATATATATACTAGAGGCCTGGTGCATGGGATTTGTGTGCTGGTGGGGAGAGTGGCTTGCGGGGATCAGCCCGCTGTGGGAGCACTGCTCATCCCCGTCAGCTGAGTGGCTATGGACCCACCCTCTGAGCAGCTGCTCCTGCTGTGGGAGTGCCGCTCATCCCAGTCAGCTGAGCAGCACTCCTACTGTGAGAGCACACTAACCACCAGGGGGCAGTTCCTGCATTGAATGTCTGCTCCCTGGTGGTCAATGTGCATCATAGTGACTGGTCGACAGTTCATTCTGGTTGTTCCGCCATTAGGTCACTGGGCTTTTATTATAGGATATATATATATCTATATGTAGATATAGACACACACATATATTTATATACATATACGTATGGTATATGTATGTGTGTATATATATACACACACACACACTGATTGAGCCTGGTGTCAGATTCCTCACATCACCTTTCAGCATCTCGTGGAGTCAATGCCAAGAAGAATCGCCGCAGTATTAAAGGCAAAAGGTGGCCCAACGAAGTACTGATGGGGTGGTCATAATAATCTGGCCGGTCATAATAATCTGGCCACTCAGTGTATAATAAACTAGAGGCCTGTTGCATGTAGATTTGTGCAGTAGGCCTTCCTTTCCCTGGCTGCCCGCACTGGTTTTCCTCCGGCACCCGGGACCCAGGCCTTCACTCGGGCCACCGCCTTCTGTCTTCACTCCGACCGGAGTCTTCCCTCCAGTGGGGGTCTTCGCTGCGGCCAGAGCCTTCAGTCTTTGCTCCAGCTGGAGCGCCGCTCCTATAGCTCTCTTCGCCCCCTGCCCTTCCCCTCAGAGCAGGCGTCCTGCGCTGCCTGGCCGCTCCGCGCCTGCATGCGTGCTGCCCAGAGGCCCAGAGTGGCTGGGGGGCGGGGCTGCCACCATCTTTGTTGGGTTAATTTGCATACCCATTCCTGATGGTCTGGTGGGCGTCGTGAAGGTATGGTCAATTTGCATCGTTCTCTTTTATTAGTGTAGATGTATGGGGTCCTTGCCAGATAGAGCGTCAGCCAGAGGACTGAAGGGTCCCGGTTTGATTCTGGTCAAGGGCATTCATTGTTCCTCAGTTGTAGGCTCCATGTCGATCCCCAACAAGGGTATGTGCAGAAAGCAACCAAATGATGTGTCTCTTTCTCTCTCTGTGTCCCCCTCCCTTCTACTCTCTCTAAAAAAATTAATGGAAATGTATACTCAGGTGAGGATTAAAGAAAAAGGGGTGTGGGGAATCATCCTCCATTCCTGTCTATGTCTTACACCATATCCATTTTGTCAGGAAATCTTACTGGTACTACCACTGCCACCCTTATCTGGACTACCTCTAATGTCTTGTCTAGATTACTTCAATAACCTAATTGTTCTCTTCACATCTACCTTTGCCAAGCTATAGTCCTCTCAAAATAGCAGTTAGAGCAGTTCTTTTAAATGCAAGTCAGATTACATTACTTCTCTTGTCAGAACTTGTTCATTCTAGTAAAAGACAAGGTCTCTTACAGGGCTCCATCTGATCTGGTCTTCCATGATCTTCCTGACCTCTTTTCTTAATGCTGTACCCCTCGGTCATTCTGCTCTAGCCACACAGGCTATTTTGCTGTTCCTTGAACATGTCAGGCCATTCCTTTTCTGTCATTTTCTTTTCCCAAAGCTTGGCTAACTTCACAGTTTTCAAGTCATTGCTCAATGAGCATTCTTTGAGTTTTGATCATTCTATTTAAATACTGTAACCTCTTCATTTCCCTTATTCTGTCCTACTTTTCTCCCTTTCCTTCCCTTCCC